TTTTTTTTTTTTTTTTTTTTTTTACATTTCTTTTTATAGATATGGGGAAACCGTTACGAAAGCGAATGCCATCATTCTCGGGTATCACTAGCGAAAATAGGATAAATACGAGGAATTCTGCACATCTGAAAGCTTTACGACAGCCGTTACTGCAGCCGCCAAAGGTGACCAACTTTTTTTTTACCAAAAACCGTCACTGCAAATCTTCGTCTACTATAAGTTTTTTTTTCTTAATTAGTTGTTTCTGAATGGCGCTGCTTGCTTCTTTCTTTCCACTCCTTTTTTGTGTTTGTAAGAAACTGCTTGTTTAGTTGGCTGCAGCAAATAGATTTTCTTGCTTTATTCTTTTTTTCCCGACTTTTTCAGTGAAAAATTATCCTCATTTTAGATATTTTTTTTTAGGTAACAACAATTTTCTTCCAGTTTTCTGCTGCTTTGCAACAACAATCATATTCATTTAATGGGATATTTTTTTGCTAGTCTTCATAGCCTGATATGGAACTTTTCATTACTAGCTTATTTTAGTGGCTTGTTGTCATTGAGTACAACAGTATGAAGATCCGCCAAGTCTAGAAAGTATTTTTCTGGTATATAGTCATCGCAATGATAATGTTGAGAATATAACACCTGAGTCGAAGTGGTATTGCTAGAACTTGATTAATTCGTCGATTTCCTTCAGTCTCCTCCCACCCTACCTATATTATCAATATTTTTAATGTAGAGACATTTAATAATGATGGAATTTGATTGAGAATTGCTTGTTGTCTGAGTCTGGAAATCTGACCCAGCAGCAGTGTCATTCGCTGTAGTCAGTCGGGAAGGTCACTGAGTTCTCGCAGTTATTGTTCACGTCTCTTTATCACTTTTCTTTTTGTTATAAATACACTTTTTTTTTTTGGTTCTGTTTTTAACGCGTCAGTATCAGTATGGGTAGCAGCTGCATTTTCTCCGTCAAACGCAACGCACACTCACCAGTTCCCACATGATCCTGCGTAAAGGGGAAGGCGAAATTGTTGCTTTTTTTTGCGTTTAACAGTCTTACATGGGCTTGTCAAAAGTAGCATTGAGAAATCAATAGTAATAGTAAAACATAACAACTTAAGAATCCATAATAACTCCAGCCAGTTCAGAAAAC